ACGCTGATGGGGTACTGGAAGTTTCTAGACCCAGACGCCTCACGCGACGCAGTCGCTGACGAGGAAAATGGAAATATAGTTGTTTCGATTGATCGAGCCAGTCGGGCTTGCAGGCCCATGCCGGTCTTCTTCCGTGCATGTCAAGGACACTCTTGATTTGCCCATCGCATAGAACTCATGTATGCCCCATATGACTTTGGAATGGCGCAATGTAATGGGCGCTCATTGCGCGTCGCAAGTTTGGAAACCATTCAGGAGTCAATGTTAGACTCAGGGATGATTCAATACCCTGACAAGCTCAGTGGATTGTGCACGAGGCGCGAATTCCCCGCTGAAAATGCCGAGCGCACCCCTCGCTGGCTTTGCCACAGGTGGGATCGAGATGCTCCACCCGCAAAGACCCATCAGGCTCCGGGTTCTACCCCTTCCGGGAGCGGACCTCCGACGCAGGGAACTTGGCCTCATGGACTTACCCCATCTTTTTGGGGAACTGCCGCGACGCATAATGAGACTTGGCAATATGTCACTGTCCTCGACGGGCGTGTAGTGACCCACCTGCGATATCGCATCTGTCGAGGTCGCGCTCTCGTGACTTCCGGGCAAGCGCGTTTCAGTGACATTCCTCCCATTGTGCAATTGTCGCTGATTGAAGAAACTGCACGACACACTCGGCATATCGGGCGATTATTTTCTTGCGAATGGACTGCGTACGAAGTGGTCTTCTCACAGTACACGAGCACAACGTCGATATTCGCTGATGCAGACTTAGACGATGTAGGTCAAGGTCTGTTGTCAGACGAGAATATGGCCCTTATAGTGCGGAATCTATGGACTGACGATGCGGGGGTCATCTGCCACAATTTCCAAGCTGCGAGCGCTGGTTTTGTGCATTGTCTACGATGCCTTACCCCAGTGCAGTGCGCATGCATCGTCCGAAAGGACTACTTATCGCCACCTGGGAGAGATGCGTTGGTCGCTGCATGGGCGAGCCGAGGACTGAGTCCATGCTTGCGCGCGCCCCCGAGAAGGGAAACCGGTTCCAATATCATTTCTCATAGGTTGAAAGCAATGAATAAAAAGGTTCAGTCGATCCGCTGGAAAATTTTAACAAAGCAGAACAACGCCAGCGCAAGTGCGCAAATTCTGAAGACGCACGTCTCGGGGCTGCTTTGGCGGGCCAAACTTTCTCAGATTCGCAGCCGGGGGGGCCGCCCCGTCCTGGAAACCTGGCAGCGCCACGGCGCAGCCGCCAGTGCGTCATGAGCCATAATTCCAGTGTGTGGATCCACTAAAGCTTCGATTCATAACTTGGTTGAAGTACATGCACGTGGAAGGGTCCTCGACTGCTGCTCAATGGTGGCCGTTGATTTGGACGCCTGACGTAGACCAATGCGCTCGTCCGTTCAGATGTCCTGCCCTTGCTGTTTTCGATCGGGAACGTGTCAGTGCGGCGCAACTATGTCCAGAAGTAGGTTGGAACCAATGGGAACGACGACAGGCGGACACGAGAGTAATAATTCCATCGGTCCAAGTGTCAACGAACAACTTGACCGAAACCAACGCAATCTCTACATCGAATAAAGTGGGAGGCTTAGATTTCCGGGCGATTGCAGAACTCCATCCACGGCCCAGCAGCCCTGATGCAGCAATCGTATCCCGTGAAGATAAAGCAGAAATGTCGAACGGCGTATACGGTGAGACCATGGTTCAGCGACGCAGATTGAGTATTCCGACGCGAAAGATGTTTTTTTTTTGGCTTGAGTGGATCTCCATATCTGGCTGCATGTCAATTGCAAAGCGCAATGTTGAAGCGCATGGTCGGACAGGAACTATCAGAGGTGCAGCGCAGTTCATTTTTGAATATTTGTCCACGTCCGCGGTCTCGGCGCCAAAAGACACTGACGTTATTCCTGACGTGCCGCTTGAACTGTCCGGGCTCGTGAATAGAGTATGGGGCGAACAATTTGACCGGATGTCCACTCATGGGCGACGGGTGCGGATGCTGTTGGCCGCGCGAGAAGTGAGATTATCATGCATGTTTGCAGGACTCAGCGTATCATTTCCGGGATGCGAAGGACATCGCAACAACTATGCAGATGTCGCTAATGAAGCAATGCGTGATGCATATGCATTGGGCTGCCGGGTTAGGTCTGCAATTGAACCATTCGACCTACGCCGCGAGTGAACCGAAGGACTCGGAAATTAAGTATCGGAGACTGTCAGACAACATTGCAGAAGTATTCACGATGCTATTGTTTTCGTGCGCGCGTCTACTGACTCCTCATTTATGCCAGGGTTTGTGTATCAAACAGCCGTTTTGGATTCTGCAGCGCAGACAGCGCCATTGGTCTTACCAGTTGCCTCAAGAAGAAAACGGAGGAGAGCGGCGCAACCGACCCCCGCATTATCCCAGCTGACTCCAGCAGATGTCGCAGTCATGATGGCTGAAGCCAGCTCCCCGAGCGGAGCTGCCGCCTCGGGACTGAGAGCCCGGCGGTATTCTCGCGCAGCATCGAGTCCGATAAATCGGACGGAGAGGCAATCTTATAGGACCGCTCCTTATACTCCAGTGCCCGCCGGCCCGGCCGCGTCGGGCAGTGGCGCCGGCTGGATTGGCGTTGGTCGGACCCAGTCGCGGGCAGATGGGCCCGTCGTAGAAACGGGCGGCCGCGCGTGCGATGGCGGCCATTTCGGAGCACCCCTCACGAGGACAGTGGCCCCATAGGGGGCTCCACCGAAGGCCCCAGTGGCAGGGTTCGCATGGCGGCCGGGGCGCGACGTTGGACCGCGAGGGCAATGATGATAATGGGGAAGTGCGAGGATAGTGTGTTCATGTGACTCGCCATCAGAATGTCGCTGGTCACACCAAAACTTGGCAATGGTTGAGTTTGAAGGATTGCAACAACAAGTTTCAACGTGATCCTTGGGCGCTAAGTACCTTGCCATAGCCTCCGCCACCACCTACGCCGAAGGCGAGGCCGCCCGAGAAAGGCCAGGGCAAGGACCAGTCAGACAATTGGAATTCGAGCAGAAGAAGAGACATACATGACAATTATTCAAGGGATCAGTACCAGCGGGACTGGCGCAACAGTGTCCCCTGGGACGATTCTCGAGAGTGGAGGAATGATGGGCAGAGATAATGCCGTACCAGAAGGACCAGTACGACTTTGTCGATGCAGGACCATAGTTCATCATGAAGCGGGCGCACCAGGTGCGCATGGGCATTGTGGCCTGAGCTGCCAAAATATTAGCTCACGCGGGGTTCGTCGGGTTTTTTCTGTCTTCCGCCCCTTGGCAACCACCGCTGAACGGTAAAATGCTTTTGGGGTTCGCTCCGGTGGCTGTGCGTATGTGCAGGCCAGGTGGGTTGGGAGTCGGGGCGACTCTACGGATCCCGCCGCGGGGGGAGTCAATGCACTCCTTCCGCGCCACCATTATGTTGCCCGTCCTGCTCTCTAGCCTTGCTTGCACTGTCTGCGTCTCTTTTCGACTTGGATGTTTTACCTGCGGCGCGCGCGCGTGCGTCGGCCAGCGGGCTGGCCTCCTCCCTCCAGGGTTACCCTATTGCATGCTTGGCGCCATTATCTTTCCCCCCCCATGTCATCGGCGAAGCCCACTGACCATGATGCATCAACGGAACATATTGCAGGGTTTATGAATACTCAGGCAAGAGACTGTTTCTTTAGGTTTGTTGTGCTATATTTTTGTTGTTTCTTTATCTCTCTATTTATATCTGTATGTATGTATGTATGTATGTATGTATATATATATATATATATATATATATATATATATATATATATATATATCGCGCGAACTCCTTCTGATGATTTCGGCTCAAGGCGCCTGGCGCCCGCGGTAGCCATCCGCTTAGTAGCAGCGACAATGTCCTCGCAGTGCCACGGGCCCTTGTACGATCTCGCCGGTGGATCTGCGCAGCCGCGTTGTCGTGCACAGAAGTACTGCAAAAGTGTGAGTCCACAGGGTTCTCACCACGCGAAGGGGACGTCCAAGAGAACGCATTTCTCTGGCGCAGCAGGTCGCTGCCAGAACTGGCCGTTGTGCCGCAAATTGAAGCGTACGCCTGCCATGGCAGATGCGCCTCATTGCTCCGCATCAACGCTTGTGGAACCGTTTATGCCCAAACGTCCGCCACTTGAGATGCGCGAGGGGTCATCTGCTTCTGCTCATGCGTCCGAGCTGTCGTCGAAACGTGGATGTCTTGCGGATTTCTTGGGTCCATTGCCCCGTCGAGATCCCGTACTTCGGGCGGGCTGGTGTTGCTTCAATTTCGGTGATTGTCTTTCATGCTGGTCTCTGGGGGGCACTATTCTCGGGCCCCAAGGGGCCAGCGCGGGCCCCGGCCGAAAAACGCTACGGATTCTTGGCGGGTGGGTTTTGCTTCCATCCTTGCGCCCCGAGAGGGGCGAAACGCGGTCAGGACAGATCGCAAACCCTCAAAACGGGTAGGTCCTGGCGGCTCCACGGAGGCACCACCAGGAAATCAGATCCGCAGATGCTATCTAACCAGGGCCACCCTGTGTTCCACGATGGTGTATAGACCTTCCTGTCCTCGGACAGGAGGCGTATACACCGTGCCAGGGCCCAGGATGGCTCTGGCCAGGAAGGATGGTGGTGTAGAGATGCCTTCTGCGTAACAGAGCGGGAGCGCGGCCTGTCCAAGGGGAGGCCATGCTCTGGACTCGCCCGTCCAACCGAACATGGCCACCCTCTCGTTGCTCCACAGGGCGCCATTCCCCCCTCTCTCGGGCAGCGGCCGTTACCGGAAATGCAAAATGAACAATCTCAAGTCGTTGGTTGCATTGTCAATTTGGCATACATATACGCAAAAGCTCGCACACACGCACACACGCACACACAAACACACACGTTCACACTCAAGCGCACACACACACACACACACCACACGCAGACACAGACACGCGTGCACGTACGTACGTATGTACGCACGCACACACGCGCCGACGCACGCGCGCACTCGCACTCGTATGCACGTCCCTCCCCCCCCCGGCCGCTTGGACACATCTGGTCACTGTATACTGTGGTGTGGTCGCTCGGTATTGCCCGTGTCGTCGTCTGGCAGGTCTCCGCCCGTCGTTGTCGCCGTCGTTTGTGAGCGTCGCACGCTGTCAGTGTCGTCGCCGCGCCGCCCTTGTCCAGAGGCCGCTGGGTGTCCTGGGGCGGCGTTGTGGACGGGGGCATCGACGGTCTGCGCCGCCCAGCGCGCTCCGCGGGGGGAGCGCACCGAGTTGGAGAGGAAGAGGGGGAACGGGAGAGCAGGAGCAGGAAAAAGAGGGAATCTTTGTAGGAGGGGGGGGGGAACGAGACAGAAAGGGTAGCGGAGGGGAGAGAACAAGCCAGATGCGTGGGCGCCCCATCTGACATCTTGCCTCTACCTCCCATCCCTTCCCATTGTGGTGACCATGTTTTCCCTGCCTAGGCTCTGCCTAGAAGGGTTCTTACTCTCTGGGCTTAAAGGGGCCGGCCAGTGCTAATCGCCCCGGGCGGTTCCCCTGGTATCCGCCCCGCGGTTCCCCCAGTTACGTCCCCTTAGTTTAGCGTTGCTTATCTCATCTTAGCTTAGCTTATTTCATCTTAGTTTAGCTTAGCTTCATTTCAGCTCAGATTTATCTTAGCTTGGCTTACCTTCATCTTAGCTTCGCTGAGCTTTAGCATAGCAGAGCACAGCATAGCAGTGTAATTCCCTACCTAGGCTCTGCCTAGAGGGTTAGATTAGCTTATTTTAGCTTAGCTTAGCATAGCGCAGCGCTGCATTAGCATAGCATAGCATAGCATAGCATAGCATAACATAGCATAACATAGCCAATCATAACATAGCATAGCATAGCATATCATAGCGCAGCATAGCATAGCATAGCATATCATAGCATATCATATCATAGCATGGCTTAGCATAGCTTAGCATAGCACAGTGCAGCATTACACAGCATAGCATAGCATGGCATAGCATAGCATAGCGCAGTTTAGCGTAGCATAGCATATCATAGCATAGCATAGCATGGCGCAGCATAGCATGGCATAGCATAGCATAGCATAGCAACTAATGCTGCTTTCCTAGGTCGCACTGGGGTAATTTTTTTCTTACCGAATCGGGCGTCGCATGCGGCCGGCATGTCAGGGAGGGGGAGGCAGGCGGAGAAGGAGGAAGAGGAGGTGGAGGACAAAACATGTGGATGACGACGACGGTGGCGGCGGCGACGACAACAGACGACGGCGGCGACAAGGAGGAATCGCGTCGAGGCCACTGCGAGGGGGACCGCTTCCCGTAGAGTGGTAGAGTTGTGGTCTTGATGGTGTCGTCGCCGCTGCGAGGAGCGCCGCTCAAGTGGCCGGGAAGCGTTTGCAGGCTTCTGGCGGCGTCGCCGACTTCACGTTGCCGGTGCGGCTGTCGCCGTCTTGATTGTGTCGTTACCGCTGTGAGGTTGTCAGAACATATGTCCAGGCGTTCGGTGTGGCCGCTGTGGGTGACATTGCTCAGGAACCCAGTGCACGTTTTCCGTAGTGAGGTCGAGCCACCGTCATGAGGGTGCTGTCGCCGTGATGAGGAAAGCAGATCTCAGGTGACCAGAAAACGGTTCGTGGTATGGCGGAGTCGCCGCCTTGGTGGTGTCGTCGCCGCTGTGCTATGAGGAACACCGTGCAGGTGACCACAAGGCGTTTCCCGTCGCGTGGTGGAGCGTCCGTCTTGGTGCTGTCGTCGCCGCTTCGGCTGAACGCCACTCGGGCGACAAGAAGACGTATCTCGGAAAGTGGTGGAGCACCGGTCAGGTGACTGCAAGACGTTGCCGGTAGTGTGGCAGCGGCGCTGTCCTGATGGCGTCGTCGGCTCTGTGAGGAACGCCGCCAGGGTGCCCGGGAAACGTTTCCCGTAATTAGTGAGGTGGCATCTTCGTCTGCATTGTGTTGTCGCCTCACGGAGGAACACAGATGAGGTGCCTGGGAAAAAGTTTCCCGTGGGTCGGTCGAGTCGCCGTCTTGGTGGTGTGGTCGCTGCTGCGAGGACGGCTGTGCAGGTGACCGGGAAACTTTTCCCGTAGTTTGGCGGAGGCGACGTCTGGATGGTGTCGTCGCCTCTGTGAGAGGGCCGCTCAGGTGACTGGGACATGTTCGCCGTAGCGCGGTGACGTCGCCGCCTCGATGATGTCGTCGCCGCTGTGAGGAACGCCGCTCAGGTGAGCGGAAAACGTTCCCCCTTGTGTGGTGGAGTGGCCGTCTTGATGAGGGCGTCATCGCTGTGCGGAGCACCTCTCGGGTGACCAGAAAACGGTTCCCGTAGTTTGGTCGTGTCGAGGCCGTGATGGCGTCGTCGGGGGCAACGTTTGTTGTAGTGAGGTGGAGTGACGTCTGCATGATGTTGGCGCCGCATTGAGGGACACAGCTCAGGTGACCGCAAAACGGTTCCCGTATTAGGTGGGGTCGCCGCTTTGGTGGTGTCGTCGCCGCTGGGCTGAAGACCGTGCAGATTACAGGGAATCGTTTCCCTTAGTTCGGTGGAGTCGCCGTCTTGATTGTGTCGTTGCCGCTGTGAGGCACACCGCTGAGGTTGTCAGAAAATATGTCAAGGTGTTTGGTGGCGCGCCGTCTTCATGTTGTCGTCGCCGCTGTGTGGGGCATCGCTCAGGTGACCAGCGCACATTTCCCGTGGTGAGTTCGAGCCACCGTCGTGAGGGTGTTGTCGCCGTGTTGAGGGACACAGCTCAGGTGACCGGAAAACGGTTCCCGTGGTATGGCGGAGTCGCCGCTTTGGTGGTGTCGTCGCCGCTGTGCTATGAGGAACACCGTGCAGGTGACCGGAGGGCGTTTCCCTTAGTGTAGTGGACTCGACGTCTTCAGGGTGTCGTCGCCCCGTGGGGGAGTCTGACTGCGGGGTGTGGTCATCGCTGCCAAGAGTCACCGTGGTGGAGTTGCCGTGTTCACGTTGTCGTCGCCACTGCCAGGGGCGCCGCTGAGGTGACCAGAAGACGTTCCTTGTAAGTATATGGATGCCCAGTAGGAATTTATGCGGTTGTGCGAGCTGTTGCGTATACGTATGTATGTGTGGTGATTGGTGGACGCGTACGTATGTGTGGTGATCGGTGGACGTTGCCCGTAGTTTGGTCGAGTTGCCGTCTTGATGGTGTCGTCGCCGCTGTGAGGGACGTCGCTGGGGTAGTCGGGAAACGCTTCTCGTAGTGAGGTGGAGTGGCCGTCTGCATGGTGTTGTCGCCGCATTCAGGAACGCAGCTCAAGTGACCGCAAAACGGTTCCCGTAGTTCGGTGGTGTCGACGTTTTGGAGGTGTCGTCGCCGGTGAGCTGAAGACCGTGCAGGTGACTGGTTCACGTTTCCCGTAGTTTGGTAGACTCGCCGTTTTGGTGGTGTCTCGCCGCTGTGAGAGCCCCGCTCAGGTGACTGGGAAACGTTCGTGGCAGCGTGGTGAAGTCGCTGTCCAGATGGTGTCGTCGCCGCTGTGAGGGACACCGCAGTGGTGATCGGACAACGTTCCCCGCAATGTGGTGGGATGGCCGTTTTGAAGGTGGTGTCGCTGCGGTGAGGAAAACTTCTCAAGTGACCGGAAAACGGTCCCCGTAGTGCGGTCGTGTGGAGGCCTGGATGGCGTTGTCGCCGTCGCAAGAAACATCCTTGACGTGATTGGAAAACGTCTCCCGTAGTTAAGTGGAGTGGACTCCTTGATGGTGTCGTCGCCTGGTCAGGAAAGACTGACTACGTGATGTGGTCGCCAGTGCGGGCAGTTGCCGTAGTTTGTGGAGTTGCCGTGTTCACGGTGTCGTCGAAGCTGCCAGGGCCGGTGCTCAGGTGACTGGAAAAGGCGTCCTATAGGTGCATGCGCGGGGATGCCGAGTAGGGATGTGTACGAACGTACGAACTGTAGGGTACATGGAAGTATGTGCGTGTGGGTTTGTTGACGGCGAAGGTGTTTTCACGGAGAACGGCGTATGATAGGTAATGTAGGGGTTAGTTGAGAAGGACATGTGTACGCACATGCGTATGTCAAAGGAGAGGTGCATGTACATGCAGATCAGGTTTGTTGCGTTGAAGCACGCCCTGGCTCAAAGAAGTGTCGCGGTAGGAGTAAACGGAGTTGTTCGGATCTTTCTGTGCATGTGTATGGTTCTGTGCGTGTGTGCCTGCGTTGGTGTACACATGTGGACGTGGGGATGTATTTGTACGTTTGTTCGTCGTATACTACACAGGTCTGTGTGTAGGAAGTTGGCAGCACAGGAGCAGCCCTCGGCTCAAGGAGGCGTGGCTGTTGAGTGCCAGTCCCGGGAGTGGCGCACATCAGGGCCAGTGCAATATGGGGCGCGCGAAGCAGCCGACTGCGGGGGCGGAGGCGTCGCAGCCAAAGAATGCGAAGACCGGGCCGAAAGGGTTGCCCTCGGCGGCGGGGATCGAGCTGTTTCGCAGAGGTGGTCCAGCCAAGAACTACGTTTGCGACGGCGACGTCGTCATGGCGGTCCAGCTCTATTGCTCCGACGGTTGCGTGTACTCGTCACGGTTCTCGGAAACCCTATTTGGCGGTCATTCAGTTGAAGTCGTCCATGCGCCCAAGCCCCCTCTTCATGTTCCGGAATGTCGTGAAGGACTTTGCAGAGGCCAAGGGCGCAATTCTGGAGAACTTGCAGGCCCAGCCGTTTATGGAGTTTGTATGCAGTGACAAGGAAGGGAAGGATGTGGACCGGGTGGGGTTTTGGCCTCATCGGGCGGCCCTTTTCAAGGACTGCAACGCGTACTGCGTGAAGGACGTGCTGATGACCATCGATGAAGCTACGTCGCGGCGGACGTCGTTCGCAGAGATGAATTTCGAGCGGCTCGTGAAGAAGCCGAACCTCGTGATGTACATCCCGGCGGAGATCGATGTGGAAATCAAGCAGGACGACGAGATGTAATGCTCCTAAACCGTGAAGCAGGGAAGTGGCAGCAAGTTTTCCGTCCTCGAGATAATGCCACCGACGTGGCCGTCGAGGATCGTGGTCATCGTGGTGGAGATGGTGGCGAAGGAGGAGACGAACTTGATCTTCGGAGGCAAGACGAAGCCGTTTCGGAAGTGGTTCATGGGCGTGGAATTCCAGGCGGGCGCGGTCCGGCGAGCTCGGCGTCGGGGCCAGCGGCGTTTGCAGCTGGGTCGTCGGAGTTCGGCGAGTACTTCCGCGTGGCGAAGACCGTCGACATTGGCGCGGTCGCCCCAGCGGAGGAGTTCAAGAGCATCCTTGCGGACGTCTTGAAGGACAGCCCAGTAGCGTCGGTGCAGGTGAAGGGCAACGCGTTCGACGCGAAGGATGTGAGCGAGTGGCAGGCCGGCGTGGGTGGAGCTGTCGCACGTGCGCTGGGCCGCGTGGGAGGCGCGCGCTCGCGTAGAGCGGATTCTGCAGCGGTCGCGCAAAAACTCGTAGAGGACCGCGGGCGAACGCGTTTGGCCGGGCGCCGAGAAGTCTCGTTATTCCCTACCTAGGTTCTGCCCAAAAGGGTTTTTACCGTGTGAGCTTAAAGGGCCGGGCAGTAGAAATCGACCCGGGCGGTTCCCCAAGTATCCGCCCCGCGGTTCCCCCAGTGACGGCCCTTAGCTTAGCGTTGCTTCTCTCATCTTAGCTTGGCTTATTTCATCTCAGCTCAGCTTAGTTTCATCTTAGCTCAAGTCTATCTTAGCTGAGCTTTCCTTCATCGTAGTTTCGCCGAGCTTTAGCATAGCAGAGCACAGCGTAGCATAGCATAGCGTAGCACAGCATAGCGCAGCACATCATAGCATAGCAACGCCCAGCATATCATAGCATAGCGCAGCATAGCATAGCATAGCATAGCATAGCGCAGCACAGCACATCACATCATAGCACAGCGCAGCATCGCATGGCATAGCGTTGCAGAACAGAGCATAGCATAGCAGCAAAGCAAAGGCAACCCAACAGCAGCGACAGCATGTTAGGGTAATTAGCATGGGTGGAATTCCCTACTTAGGCGTTGCCTCGAGGGCTAGCTTAGCTTAGCTTAGCGCAGCGCTGCATTAGCACATCCTATCATAGCATCACATAACCAATCATATCAGAGCATAACATAGCATAGCGCAGCATATCACATCATGTTATAGCTTCGTATATCATATCATAACATAGCATAGCGCGTCTTAGCATACCGTATCACATCATGCCATAGCCTCTCATATACCAACGCAGCATGACATATCATAGCTCATCATTTCATCTCGTAGCATACCATCGCAGAGCATATTGCCGCATAACATCGTATACCATATCATAGCGCAACATCGCATGGCATAGCATAACACAGCATATCATAGTTACTAGTGCTGCTTTCCGAGGGGCTCCAACTTCTAGGTCGGGTCGCACTGGGGTAATTTTTATGGCCGTTTCGGGCGTGCAGTTGAGAAGCCGGGGGCGTTCGGAGACAAGCCGGCGGGTTTGTGTCAGGCGCGCTGGGGAGATGCGAGGCGGGGCGCGGCGGGGCAATGCGGCGGGCCAGCGAAGGGTAGAGGAGGAGAGGTGGCGCGGCGGAGCTTGGGAAAGCGGGCGAGGCTGGCGACGCCAATGGCAGGGTGTGGCGGGCGCGAGGGGCCTTAGAATGGGCGACGCGAGCGGTCGCAGACGCCCGAGGCGGGCCGAATGATATTTGAAAATGTAGATCTGCGCGGATCCAGGAGTGCGTCGCCGGACGGTGCGCGGGGCTAGAAATGCTGCCCCTTTCCAGCATCGTCGTCGTTCTCGTAGTCCTCGATATGTTTGGTTGTTCGCCTTGCGTTGCCCTCCGACGGCCTTCGCCGTGCGCTGCTTTGAGGGCGAGGCGGCGCCGCAGCGAACGGGGGCGGGTGTCCCCGACGCAGGTTGGGGCGTGGCTCGACCGGCTCGGGCTGGCCCGGGCGCGTGTGGGAGCAGGCGCATGTAGATGCAGCGCGAGGTGTCGGTTCCAGGTAGGGGGTCGTGGTTCGGACGATGCACGCAGGCGTCCGAGTCGTTTTCTTGTTTTGGGCGTCATGTTCAGCTTGTGCGTGAATTCAGGTATGGCGTGTGGCGGCTTGTTGGTTCATGCCAGCGCGCTCGACATCCCGTTCGGGAGCTAGTGGCCTTCGCGCCTGGGTTGTGGGTTCCGAAGCGTGTTTGATGCTGCTCGCGGTTGCGCAGAATGCCTCGCGGAGGCATGTGGTTACTATGTGGTGTTCGCGTAGGTGCAACCGGTAAGGCTTCGGCAGTAGTGCCGAAGTGGTATCGCGAGCGTCTTGTGGCCCCCTTCGGGCGTGGATCCCTGGTGCAGGGAGGTGTGTCAGATGCTTCATGGGTGAAGGGGAATGAATCCCAGTGGCACCCTTGGAGGCGCATCGATCGAAGGGAGTGGGGTTGGAAAAAGCGGAGGATGAGGAGGATGAGGGGAATGCAATAGGGGTGACGCAAGAGGGACAGCGACCACGACAACGCTGACGGCGACGACGACGACGACGATGGCGCGGACGACGACACTTTGAGACCAAACGTGTACCATTACAGTCTGTATCAGCGAGCTTCAGCGATGCCCATGTGGTGCATTTCGAGTAGGTGGGCTGCAGGTGGTACCAGCCGGGCACCAGTGAAGTCGTTGGGGGCCTCTTGGGGATCGTGTTGGGGCCTCTTCCGGCCCCGTCGGGGGCGTCTTCTGGCTGCTTGGTGGCCTATTCGGGTCTTCTGGAGCTTTGGGGGCCTCCTCTGGAACCTCTTGGGACGGAGTGCTCGAACAGTTTGTTCGGGTTCCTCCCGGGCCTCTCTTGGGCCCCTGGGGGCCTCTTGGGCCGCCAAGGAGCTCTCGTGGGCAAACTTGAGGTTTTTGTGGCGGTCTCTTGGGCCGTCTTGGGGCGATTTTGGGACCCTCGTGGGCCATCTTGGGGCTGAATTGGGCCGTCTTGGGGCCTCTTGGGGCCCACTTGGGCTTGGGGCCCTCATGGCGGCCTCTTGGGCCGCCGCGTCGGTCTTGCAGTAAAAACCGGGCCAGTTCTAGGCCTTTTTGGCTCCGTTTTGGGTCGAAGTGGGGCCCCGAATCTTCAAGATGGATTCCGAAGGGCGCCCAAGAACGGCGTTCAAATTTGGAAAATAAAATTGAGTACCGCAGACGATCCCGAAAGGCAGATGTAAGAAGCGTCCGAGTGACCCCCGAGGACTCGAAAATCGTGAAACCACCATCGTATTTGCGTTTTTTTCTGGCATGCCGGGGACGACAAAGGCGCTCTCGAGGGCCACGGGAGCGGATTTCGGAGGCTAAGAAGGGGGTCCGACGGGGCCGAGGTAGGGCCAACATGCGCCCCAGAGGCGTCCTCAGAACGATATGAAAATGAGCTCGTCATGGGAGGCATTTTGGAGGCGTCTCGGGGACCGAAGAGGGGCTTGGGCGCAGCCGGGCGGCGGAATGGCGGAGGCCTCCGGGGGGGAGATGAAGAGGGGCCGCTAAAGCACTGTAAGGAGCTCTCGTAGTTACGTCTCACACGTTCCTCAGCCCAGTGGGCGGGCGGATTCAAGAGACTTGCGCCATTCCATCACCCCCAAGAAGAGTCCACGGTTGAGGCGTCGTGGGCTTCTTGGAAGCGGTTTGGGAGCCGTTTTGGGGTCTCGTTTGGGCCTTTTGGGGGCCCTTGGAGGTTTATTGGGGCCTCCGTCGGGCCGCTTGGGGGCTTCTTCTGGCTTTTGGGGGGCCTCGGGGCGGCAAGGATTTTCGTTTGTGTTCTCCCTCTTGGCATGTCTTGGAGCCCTCTTGGGGCGATCTGGGGCCGTCTTGGGCCCCTCTTCGGGCCGTCTTGGAACCGTCTTGGGCCGTCCTGGGGCCCTCGTAGGGGCCTATTGGGCAGTTTTTGGGCGGTCTACGGGGCCTCCTGGGCCGTCATGGAGCTTCGGAAGTTCGCCAAGACAATATCCCGAGAAATCGTGAAACACCAAAGGAACACCGTTGTTTTTTGCCTCTGGGTGCTCTCTTGGAAAGGCTCTTGGGCTTCTTGAGGCGTCTAGAAGGCGTCTTGGGGCGTCTTGGAGCCATCGAAGGCGTCTTGGGCCAATCGTTCGGCGACTTGGGACCGTCTTGGCACGTCTTTGGGGCGACGGAAGGCAGATTTGCAAGCTCTGGGGTCTCCAGGGAGGCGCCGGGGAGCTCGTCCCCCCCCCTCCTGGAACGAGGTGTACCCTGGGGGATGTGGAAAGGGGGAGAGGGACAGCCAATCATCTCTCACGCCTTCAGACCCCCTGCAAGGAGGGGGCGGCGGACCTCGGAAACGTGCGGCCCTGGTCGGATCAAGGGCAGGGGCTCCCCATGGCTGGTTGGCGGGCCTCTCCTCGAGGGCAAGCACTGACCAGGCCCAGGTCGCCCCCTCCTCCTTGGGTCGGGGATGTCTCGCGCGAGAGCCATCCGGCGCGAGAGCCAGGCGGAGTTGCCCGGAAGGGCTCTCGAAGGGGGCGGTCCTTTTCCCGCTCGGGGCGGCTCGAGGGCCCTAAACGGCAGCGGTCAGCAAGCAGTGCAACGGCAGGAGGAGGGTAGAGGAGAGAAGATAAGAAAGGATTGACGTAGTGAACCAGAAGAGGAGAGAAGTCGCTGCACAAGGGTGACCCTCCGTATTCACGAAGCCTGCACCTGCCCGCGGCCCCCAGAAGAGAACATGTATGCGGTTTCCGATGCCGTGCATGATGCTTTGTCCGCATCCCGTCGTGTTGCCCGCGTGTAGTTGTTGCCGGCTTGTCCTCCTGTTCCTCAACGTCTGTTGCAGGGCTGCTGGACCTAAACGCTGTTTTGCTGGACAACGGCTGTGTTGTGTTTTTTGTGTTGGGAGGGGGGTGCAGGAAAACAGGCAGAGCAAGATGAATAACAAAACGAAACCAAACCGAAAAACAACCTTTAGGTCCAGCCCTGGTCTGTCGCGGGATTTCTTGGGGTCCCCTTGGACTCCCTGGCGGCTGCCTCGTGCGAGTCTTCCCTCCCCTGATGGAGTTTGCCGCCCTCTGGGGAAAGCTCTGGCGCCTAGCCGAGCCCACATCTTTGGATGCAGCTCCTCTGCGAGGTCAAAATCTGACCTTGCCCTGGTTTGAAGTCTGGCTTGCTCTGGCTCATCATCATCATGATCATCATCATCATCATCATCATCATCATCATTGTCATCATCACTGGCATCATCATTCTCATCATCATCATTATCATCTTCACTCGATCACTCACTCATTCACTGACTCACTCACTCATCTCAGGCGGGAGCCTCGTCTGTGAGTGAACTGAGAGGAAGTCTCAGGCGAGAGCCCCCTCCCTATGGGGCTCGCAGCTCATGTTTGTAACCCGAGCGGGTCATCGGGAACCTGTAATGTCCAAAGCCTGTTAAAACAATGATGACCCCCACTTTCTCCCCCCCCGGATCCCGAGTGTCATTAATCCGCCA